ATTTGCAATTTATAATTCAATGCAATTTATAAAAATGACAAGGTGGTTACAATTATATGGAAAACTCTAAGGAGAATTACAGTAATTATCCATGTTTTGGATACGTAGTGTTTTAACTTACAAATTTTGGCTTTACATATCCATAGTTTTATATCTGTATATCTAACAATTTATCTGCTCTCTAACAACTTATGTATCTTCTCAGGATCTCTTGACCTTAGTAATATTGATAATCTGTGCTGGGTTTAATTAAGAATGTACATTGGATATTGTATGATGTTTAATGACTTAAATGACCTATAATTGCTAGTTGGTAAGATCAGCTCATCTGCAGGTGGTGACAAAGAAAATATATTTAGACAGTGGAAAATTCTATTTAGTAAGTGAATAGTTTACTTTTACCTATTTCTACCTTTAAGTCTACATATCAATATTTTTGTGAGAAATAGGTTTCTTTCCAAATATTATATAAGTTGTAATGTCTGGATGTACTTTGTTTGTACTAACTTTGTACTAAAATGAATCTCCCAGCCATAAAACATGATAGCCTTTGACCGTGATAATGTCTCTATGCAGAAAAGATTTTCTGGTGAATCTGAATGGAGAAACGCAATCTCTCAGTGGTGCATGAGTTCATTCTGATGGGCATCACATCCCGCCCTGAGCTGCAGGCTCCATTATTTGGGCTGTTCCTTATCATCTACCTGGTCTCAGTGCTGGGCAACTTGGGCATGATCATCCTCACCAAGGTGGACCACAGCTTGCAAACACCCATGTACTTTTTCCTGAGGCACCTGGCTATTACAGATCTTGGTTATTCTACAGCTGTGGGCCCCAAAATGCTAGTAAATTTTCTTGTGGATCAAAATACAATCTCCTATTACTTTTGTGCCACACAGCTAGCTTTCTTTCTTCTGTTTATTGTCAGTGAACTATTTATTCTGTCTGCAATGTCTTATGATCGCTATGTGGCCATCTGTAACCCTCTCCTCTACACTGTCATTATGTCACAGAGGATATGTTATATACTGGTGGCAATCCCATATCTCTACTGCACATTTGTGTCTCTTCTAGTCACTATAAAGATTTTTATTTTACCCTTCTGTGGCTACAATGTCATCAGTCATTTCTTCTGCGACAGCCTCCCCTTGTTATCTTTGCTCTGCTCAAACACCCATGAAATTGAATTGATAATTTTAATCTTAGCAGCTTTTGATTTGATTTCCTCTCTTCTGATTGTCCTTGTGTCCTACCTGCTCATCCTTCTAGCCATTCTCAGGATGAAGTCTGCTGAGGGCAGGCGCAA